CTCGCCACCGGCCTCCGTCGCCCGCGCCTTGCGCACCACCCACAGGCTCGGCCGCCCTCGCGGCCGCGCCGCGCCCCCGCTCCCGCCCCCGCGGAACACCTCTACAAGCACCTCCCTCCCGCCGTCCTCCTCCTTGAAGATATCCATACTGTTTTTCTTGAAGACATCTGATGTGAACAGAGTTTTTTGCGGTGGGGTTTGTTTCAGCTCTTCATTAGACCAGGCTGGTGTACTGGTTCACCAATAGACCAACCGATAAATATCTTACAAGTGGCAGTCATTGATTGTACGATTTCAATAGAACAGCGTGCGCGTTGGAGATGGCCTAAATAACTTCATCCTTTGAGTACTGAACCATGCCGGATGATACACGTGTGAGCTTATGATAACCTGTGCCAGAGGGTGAGCCATAGCACTCTATAGAGGGAAGCACTACTAAAGTAGGCACTATTGAGCGACCCCCCCCCCCTGCATACATTGTTCTATGGTAGTAAATATTTAACCACGACACATGATGTCCAATCACATAGTGACTTGGATTGCCTACATAAACTTTGTGCCTTGTGTAATTCATCATGAATTCATCATGAAGGGACAGTTTTCGGAGCCTGACATAACGATGCGAAGAAAAGCAATAAATTTGCAATGGATTTTTGTTCGTCGTCGATATATGCAGGAGTCACCTCACAAATGCTCAGGGCCTCCTTTAAGACAGCATGGACAGCCATGTTTGGATGTATATGTTTGCGATTTTCAAAATATTACATGTCCAATAATTTAATGTATTGTGTCAGCGCGCCGTGATCCGTAAATTGGCTCAAGGGGTGCTTCATACCGGGCTACCGATAAGGAAGCGAACGGTCTTTCTGAGCAGTGATGCAAGGAAGTGGCTGCAAAAAAGCCGCAAATCTCATTATCTTACAGTGCCTGGTTCGATATAGTGCCGTTTTCGGCCCACTGACAGAGGGAGACACTATATCGCGATCCCCGTGTACTGGCATTCAGGGACGTCAATAAAATGATTAAATTGAATTTTAATGTATGCTAAATTGGATCAAGATTGAATTCTATCGCACTTATGCGGTAGGCGACAGCCAATGGTGTGGTCTCGTATGGCACGTTGGTAGCGACAGATTCCATTATATTAACTTTGTGTGCGCCATCATACTGTTAAGAAAAGTATTAAATGGACCAATCAGGTGCACGCTGACGTCCATACATGTCCAAACATGCCCGTCCATGCTGTCTTAAAGGTGGCCCTCAGACTTGGTGTGCATCATCATCCTTCAAAGCGCATCATTGAACACTAGCTAGTGTCTATCGGACCGTTAGTCCCCATATGAGGACAAAAGTTATTTTAATTTTTCTAGGCAACGCAAGGCGCGATTTAACTTCTGTTTTTGCAACTAGAAATGCATCACCACAGGTAAAGCATTTGCTCGTCAGTTTTAGCGAAAACCAATTCTTTGATGCACATAAAGCTGTTCAAAAGAAAAGGTCGGCTTACAGTGCGCATTTTTCTTGATGCTAATTTTCTACCAGTAGCATAGAAACATTTGTTTTGCGTTTAGTGCTTTCTGCTCGGTTCCAGCCTCAGAAAATTTTTAAAACGAGTCCTACCAAAGAAAAATAGAAACCGTGGCCATCAAAGTTGAAAAGAAATAAAATTCGCTGATTTTTATGTTATGATAACGCTTGGTCGGATAGAGACTAGCTTTAGATAAAGCGCCTCCGCACTCTCAGTGCCTATACTCTCATCTTGCTCAAACGGGGATTTCTACGTCGTAAAACTTGCAGACATATTTTGAATAAGACCAGAGGACGCTTCACACCAAACCATACACTGGACCATTACAGTACCGTATCAAAAACTCGTATTCTCGCAACTGCGACCATGATCTAACTTAAACTGCGATCCATGGGGCATAGAAGCCCTTGGTAATCAATCAATTTATCACAATCCCCACCTCGGGGAAACAGCAGTGTTTCTCCGTGAGCTCACCATATTTAAGACGACCAAGCCATCTACATGCATTACTCCGGGTTGGTCGCAGTAATCGCAGTATATATTTGAAGCTGAACCTCACTCGTTCACCGTAAAGTTCTACCGTCTTTTCCTGAATTGAACTGAAGTACAGTAGTGTCTATCCGACAAAGCGTTATCATAACATAAAAATCAGCGAATTTTATTTCTTTTCAACTTTGATGGCCACGGTTTCTATTTTTCTTTTGTAGAAGGACTCGTTTTAAAAAATTTCTAAAGTTAGAACCGAACAGAAAGCACTCAACGCAAACAAATATTTCTATGCTACTGGTATAAAATTCGCTTAAAGAAAAATGCTTTCTGTAAGCCGATTTTTCTTTTGAACAGCTTTATATGCACCAACGAGTTGGTTTTCCCTAGAGTCGGTAAGCAAATGCTTTATCTGTAGTGATGGCCTTCTGGTTTCAAAAAACAGAAGTGAAATCGCGCCTTAGGTTGTCTAGAAAAAACAATATAACTTTTGTCCTCATATGAGCACTGACAGTCCGATAGACACTAGGTAAAGAATGGAAATGGCGATTTCTTTGCTGCTCTACTTAGATCTCAACCTCAATTTTTATCTTTATGCTTCTGGAAAGAAAATATTCAACTTGAAGTGGCTTGAAAAAGCTGATAAAGTTATGATCGGTGGTAAAATTGTTGAATAAATTGACTGCACATTTTTGTGTAGCCCAATGAACAGTTTAAACTCATTTCTGTTTGGGGGGCCCTGACAGGGCAGGGTAGGTACAACTCTTTGACAATGACGCTTTGGTAGTTACGCTTTGGAAGTTGTGGGCTGTGCTAAGTATCAGTTCTCGTGCCACTGCAGTTCCTTCTTCGCGTGCTCACGCACATATGCATGGCTATATACTGTGCCTGCCGCCACATCGTGGCCGCTTTTCCAGACAGGTGTCCAGAAGTTGGCGCAATTGAAGCATCTCTCATCTGATATTTCCGTGTATGTTATGGAAGAGAGCACCACGCACAAGATGATACGAGAGGATGGAATGGTGTTGACAGAGGTGCAAATCGGAAGTAATTAGGGAGTACCCGGCGAGGTGGGATGCAATGTACAAGGCCGCGATTTCATTAAATCATGTTTTTGCGCGCAATTGCGCGCAAAAACTGCCAGATAATGCTGCAAAATGAAAAAATCACCACTTCGGCCTTCTTCAGGCGACCCACCGATAATCGCGATCAACCATCGAAATCGAGATCCCCCATGCCTTCCTAGGGTCCCTGTAGCCCATCTCCATCATGGAGATGTAACGTGTAAGTCGTGGCTACCATTGTCTAAAGTCGTTTCTTCATGAAGAATCATGAAGTTTCTCAGTTTCTGCATGAATAAACAAGCAAAAAGCAAAAATGAAAAAACAACCC